CCCTCCCTTCCCCCCCCGGTCACTCCAGCTTCCCTCTACGCTCCTCTCCTTCTCCATCCTTCTCACTTCAATGGCTGCCAGTCGCACGCCCCTTGCAGTCTTCTTCCCATTGCTTCCGGTTCTCTTCTCAGGGTGTTTTCACACCAGAACTTTCCTGAATGTATCTGACAGCGATAACAGCCTGACCTTGACGCACCTGACCACAATCTGGCCAGCGATCGGTCTAAAAAGTCCCACTGTGGGTATGGCCTCAAATACTTCTCGCACAGGATGCTTGCAGAGCTGGCCCACACAGTCCAACCTCCTCGTTTGCTATCCACTTGCCGACATCGTAGTATGCTCTCAGGTAGTCCTCGCACAGGATGCTTCCAGAGCTCCTCCCACAATCCAACCTCCTCAGTTCGTATCCATTTGCCGACTTCATTTTCCCACTCCGAATGATCCTGTCTTTTCGAAAATCCCCACTTCAATGGCGTCCAGCAGCACAGGATGCTTGCAGAGCTCCTCCCTGCCACAGTGCAACGTCCTAACTTGATAGCAACTTTCCAACATCATTTTCCTATTCTGAACGATCCTGCCTTTTCGGGTATCCCCACTTACAACGGTGTCCAGCAACATGCGTTTCCCCGCCCACATCTCATATCCTTTGACGCCCGTTTTCCCCTCGCGCACTCTCCCCTCCAGGAGATTTGTCTAGGCTTCCCCCTCCAGCTAAGCTTGCCTTACAAGCCTATACTGCAGAATTGCCATAAGACCTGTCGACTTTTCATTCTGCTTCTGCAATACCTTTCCGAGACGTGTTTTTCTGCTCGTATTCTGCTCAATCGTCGCTGCTCATCCTTCCGAAATCCCGATAACAAGGGTGAGCACACACATGGTCAATCTCAGCATCCTCCTGATCTGTCCTTTGTCCAGGGTTGGACACCATGTCTTCCCCTCCCCGGCAAGGCCATTGTTGATGCTTGTTTTTTATTTGCCAACCCCTGAAATGGATGTGCCACTTGCTCCCCCCAGCCTCCACCACCTAATGGTTGGCTAGGACCAAGGGCATTGCCATCTATTCACCATACCGTCATGATTGTTATGATCATGGAGTCCAAATTGAACGATTGAGCTGATCTAATGCCGCTTGCTTCTTCGCACGCTCTATTTCACTCTTTACGTGCTTTGCCAGTCACTTGCTAGCTTTGTTTTGTCAAAAGGAAACAGGGATGCAGCATCGAGATTGTCATCACCCTCGAGGGGCCTTCCACATGCCGCTGGCCTGCATTCCATCCTGATTTGCCGGCAGCGCTGAGCTTCTGGACACTTGCGGAGAAGATCTGTCTGTCTATCTATTCACTGCATTCTCTCGTGTCCGAAAGGAACAAGAATGTCCTGACATGGTCCCACAGATGAAGGTCCTTGGAGAGTAGCGCGCAATGGAGGCAGTCTCTCATGCCCCAAAATACCAGATAAGGTCCTCAAATGGGTCCCCAGGGGGCGGTCCTAGGGTAAGGGAGGGACTCTCGCCGTGTCTGATACTCAGCTGAAAGGCATGTCCACCATGGGGGCCATGCGGAATGTGGCCCCCATGACCCCCACGGTGCGGAGGACCGTGTCCACCATGTCCACTCCCGGAGGGCGCATTCGCAAACTCCGCCGGAATTCTACCACGCTGCCCATGCTCGTATCCCATAACCATGCCTGCATGCTTTCCGTGCATACCGTTCATTCCATTGGGATGATTGTTTCCATTCATCATCATCATTGTGTTCCTGCCGGGTCTTGGCACAAGCGAATCGCACTGAATATGATTGACAACGGGTGTGGCTCCATCAGTCACCGGTATGAAACCTTGCGTGTACGATCTGGGTGCATCCTCCCCACCCTCTGAGGCTGCTGTTCCATCGACTGCCATTCTCCTTGCGGCCATGGTATCATCATCGTGTGTCTGGTGCTGGGAACCATCGTCATGAACATGTACATGACCTGGCGATGTATTCATGCTCCCCATCCCGGGCTCCATCTCTGACTGGGACCCTGCTGCCCTGCTAGCACCTCCATGCATGGGAGCTGCTACGTTCGGCGGAACACCAGGGCTGCCTTGTGCGAGGCCTTCTCTATACAAGCCAGCGAACAAGTCATGCAGATGGCCTGGCCCTCCTTCCAGGCGGTTCCCGCCGCTCACCTGTCCCATCACATGATCATGAGGCGAATTCGGATTGCAAGCTTGCATACCAAGTGGGTGGCCTATGACAGGAATCTGGAGTCCAATTTGCATGTTTCCTTGAATGAATCCAGCAGTGGGATGAGGGTGACCTTGAACATGGGAGTCCCCAGGCCCTTCCATGGATTGAGAGAAACTTGTTCCACCCATGGCAGGGACAGTGTGAATGACTGGGGCGACAGCAGAAGGCCTGACCCTGGGAAGTTGGGATGGGGTGAGCGATGCAGGTAAATTGCTTGGCGAAGCAGACAGCGGCCCACCAGGCCTGTAAGGACAGTTCTCCTGGTGCAGGTTGCGTAACTCACGAGCTGCAAAAGCATTTCTCCATTCGTGCCGTGGGCAGTTCTCGTAAGGACACATGAAGATCCGGTGCTCGGGAACAGAGTCTGCACGCCGTTTCTTCGCATTCCCGGGAGTCGGAACGCCATCGCCATCAGCAATCCTGACGATATTCTCTGCACCACCAGCCTCGGGGGAATCCGGAGAGCTTCGGCTCCCAGTACTCTGGCTTTTTGCACTGCTCGGTGACTCGATCACCCTCGTCATGAGTCCACTACCCTTGCCTGCTCCTATTGCCCGCCCTGGTCCATACACGTCACAGTCGTGAACTTCGTAATCACTGCTCTCGTCATTCCCAATAGATGTCTGACTCGACGTAGTTGCTTGATCGAATGGCTCTGCCACCTCAACGTCGTAGTCGCTCGACGGTTGTAGGGCAACCGCAGATTCTGTGCATCTGCTTGGATCCAAGGAGATGAGAGCGCCAACCTTCATTTCTGCACCATCATATAGAGCCCCAGCAGCACATGACATGTGGCCAAGGGCAGCATGTTCAGCGTCCCCTCGAGCTACTCGAGCCAGAGCTTCCTCTTGATTCAGGATGGCAAGCCATGTGGCACTCTCCCTTGCAGTCATCTTATCTTGTAGACATTTTGACTGCCTCACGAGTTTCCGTATCTTTGAGATATCTGGCGACATGTGCTTAATTACTGCGGTGAGAACGCCGACTTTCCATGCCTTCTTAAGATCATGTGGCTTCTTGTAAGGGGGTGCTCCCTGGCCCTTAGGCAAACCCACCAATGGCCACCATTCCTCATTACCTGTAGGCCACCATGGAGGGGGTATGCCCTTCTCAAGGGGAAAACGGCGCTGCTTGGGGTCGCAATGCTGCATAAGAGCAGACAGAAGGGAGCCCAGAGTAGTGTCCTGAAGCTCTTGGAGTGTGCGTGGTGTAGGGGCAATGCACTCGACTCCCTCACTTTTGTTCAGGCAATGCTCAGCGGCATATTTGGCTGCAGCTAGTGGCCCGTTGCGGTCAAAGCGAACTTTGTCTTTCCACCACGCCCGCAGGTTATCTGAGCTTCCACCCACAGGCTTGCCCTTCTCCGGGATGATCCCGTATACGAACCCTTGAGCTTTGCACACTTCCATCATCTTCAGCATGTACTTGAGTATCCCGTCATGCGCCCGCGACATCTTCTTCCGCCGCGCTTGCTCCTGCGACTGCTTTTGCCGCGGTTTGTCGCTCAATTCCTTTGCCTTTTGCAGTTCTTTGATCCGTCGCAGCTTCAGCCGGTCACGCCACATCCTCCTTTCCAGCTCATCGATATCAATATCCTCGTCACTGACATCTTCGTCATGCAACCCCCCGTCCCCCTCACCCATAATGTCTCCCATGTCCACATTCCCTCCTCTGCAGGCGAATTCATCTCCCCCGTCACCCATACCCTTCACTTCAGATAAGAAATATACACTTACTCCTGTCGGCACTTCGCAAGGCTGTTCTTTCGAGACCCGTCAGCACATTCAACAGCCGGACAATTTTTGTTAGAGGAATCGATTCCTGCCCGTTCAATCAAGGGATACGTGGATCATACGCCAGATGTGCACAGAATATTGGTAACGCTCTCAATCAGCAGTACACACCCCTAAACCTCCATCCACACCACATTTCTGCTTCTTCAGACTTCTTCCAGATTGTCTAGAACTCAGCCGTGTGTCACAAGGAGGGAAGGAGCAGGCAATTTGTGTGCTGCAGTTGGTTGACGTGTCTCCTTTCTGCTGCCAAGAGCGGCAGTGTCAATCACATAGCAAGGAGCAGGATAGGTCGATAAGAATTTCAGCGATATGGAAGACGAGGCAAGGAGGAATATGCCAGGCCTCAAGCCTGTGGTCGGCCTTCCCGATCTGATCGCGGTGGCGACAGTGTCAGCATCGGCCCACACTTTCACTGCTCATCAGCTTATTGAAATCAGCTTAGAAGAATTGCAACAGGATGGTTGATATGCTTTCCAGGTTCGAACTATCTTTACTTCCTAGTTCCCCGGTAAAGTCCCGATTACCTCCATTTCCCAAGTCCCAAGTATCGTCCTAGGTCCTAAAGTACCTCCGCTTCCCGGTCCCTAATTGTCTTTGTTTTCCTCAGGTCACAGCACTGTTTCGATTTCCGGAACTTCTTGGTTCTGAGCACATTCACTTCCCAGGTCCCCAGTGCCTTTGCCCCCAGGTCCCCATGTACCGTCGTTTGCTGAGACCCAAAATTCCTTTGGTTGCCAGATCTCAAAGACGTCAGAAAATCGCAGGCGAGTGCAAGTGTCAGATGCTTGAAAAATGTCGGAAGCAAAGCAACTGAACAGCGATCTTTCACGTAGACAGTTTTAAAACACGCTCACAAAAATGCCAAGTCAATCCTGAAGGCAGCACGCCCCCGAAACCAGCTCCAACCACAAGCACAACGTTAGCAAAAAATGCCGAGCCGCTGCTGAAGACGGCACTCTCACAAAACCTTCTATAGTGACACAGGCAAAGTGTCAGGTACTTGAGAAATGTTGGAATATACAACTGGGCAGCGATCTTTCACATCGACAGCACAACTTCGAAACAAGTGTTTGCAAAGAAAAAAGCCGAGCCACCGTTGGAGACGGGACTACACCGAAACCTTCTCCGACTGCTGCAAGCAGAAGTGTTGGATCTTGAAAGATATAAGAAGCGACTGGGCAGCTTTCACATAGACGGCGTAGTTGCAAAACAACCGTTCACAAAAAAAGCCAGGTCGTTGCTGAAGACGGCACTCCAGCGACACCTTTTCCAACCTCCAAAACCTGCTTTGCGGCCCCTCGTGAGACCTAGATACATGGGCGCATCACCACCTCATCAGCACTCCGTTGATGTTTGATCATCGCCAATATACCCCCACCTCGAGCACGACTCTGTCATTCCAGTTGCAACTTCTTTCCCGCCATGATCACACAACCGCGTACCTGCCACTCCTGCATGCAATCACATTCCCCCCCCCCCAACAAAAGTGGTTGTGGTGAGTGGAAATGAAAACCAGACACAAACGGGCTACACTGCCAATATGTGAGGGGCAGGCCACATACACACATCTTTTGCTCAACCCCCCGCGCACCCCCGCCCCTCCCTCCCCTCCCCCCCGATCAGGGCCTACATGTTCTATCTCTGTGCATGAAAGCAGGAACCTGGTCGTTAAACCACCAGCCAGTACATGGCCCCAGACAAGTTGAGAATGGCGATTGAGCCTGTTCTAAAATTTAGGAGGCACGTAACAGGGCCTCAGAAGGGAGGGTGGGAAAAAAAAAATTGTCCTGTGTCTTGGGATGGGACCAGGCCCTGTCCCGAGTCCCCGAACCTTTTGGAGAGGCTAATTCATGATTCTCCACATGTACTGGTGGTTTAAACTGGTTTGGTTAATGCAAGCCAGTACATGGCCCCAGAGAACAACGAGAGGCTCTCTCCGGAAATTACAAAGGCTTGGGGCAACCGGATCAAAACGGCTGGAGGCGCTAGCCAAAGCAGAAACAAAAACACAGAGTCTCCCATGCATGCCCATACACACACACAAGAAAGGGGATCCCCGAAGTCTCCTCACAACCAATCACAAGAGAGTCACCGAGTAGATCACATCTGGAGATTCAAAGAACACTGAAATAGCAAAATAGTAAAATACACAATATAAGAGTCTCGTCACATCAAAAATTGTCTCAGAACAATATAGCGCTGCTTTGAGGGACCGGCGCTTCTTCCACCTCTACTGAGTAGCTTCGCTACTCTCCCCAGGACCCTGAAACCACAATCGCCATACAACTAGGGCCTCCTGAGGCCCTGCGCCACCCAACAGATGAAGAAGAAGGCCAGCGCCACAGTGTCTGATGAAGATGAAGCCCCAGATGATCTTCCTGAGGAAGATCAGCAGCTGCGCCACCCTTTCTGATGAAGAAGACGACCTCTGAGAACACCTGCTGCAGCTATGGCTGCAGCCCACCACTTTGAAGCTTCCAGCAGACCTCCAAATAGCCCTGGTCTCCTGACAGTCCCAACGTACTGCAGGAGGATAGACGAGTCCCCAGAAAGCCATGGAATCCAGTAGCTAAAAAGAATGTAGAGCCATATATCCCATCAGAAATGGTAAAAGGAGCTTCTACATATTCCATTCCTTGAAATGCAGTAAAAACTAAAGCTAGAAGAATAGTGGCTAATATGCCATAAAGGGCTTGTTGTTTTAAACCARCTAATATAGCATGATGAGCCCAAGTTACAGCAGCTCCAGATGAAAGTAGAATAAGAGTATTTAGAAAGGGGATTCCCCAAGGATCTAACACATCAATACCTTTTGGAGGCCAAATAGCTCCAATTTCTACGGTAGGCGCCAGACTTGAATGAAAGAAAGCCCAAAAAAAAGCTACAAAAAACATTACTTCTGACACAATGAACAAAAWCATACCATAACGAAGTCCCACTTGAACCACTGATGTATGATATCCTTCGTAGGTGGATTCACGTATTACATCACGCCACCATACAAACATGGTATACAAAATCATTCTCTTCGACCCTCAACAAAGCCAAATTCGACATGGAAACTCCCCGTCGAAGACTCAGCGGCGAGGCGATCGTAAGAGCTTCCGCTCTTCAAACGACAAAAACCGGCGACCGGCGAACCCTATGGAAGACTTCATCAGATCCAATGGATCCGGGTTTCAAAAGACTCTTCTATGTAAGATATGCTGATGATTTTGTTATTATCATAACAGCAGGATCCAGAGCARATGCTGTCGAGATCAAAAGGTTGGTGACTCAATTCTTATCTGAAGAGCTTAAACTGGAGCTTAATCAGCAGGTGCGAAGCACAAAAAGTCATAATGGGATATCTCTYCTAAGTACCCAAATTCATGCCGTGAAATGGAAGGCACAAAATCAAGTCTCTTGGGTTAGGCGCGAAGCGCACGGAAAAGTATACCGAAGAAGGATACACCCGAGACTCATTCTCCGCCGAGCCCCTATCAAGGAGCTTGTAGAACGTACTGCAGGAGGATAGACGAGTCCCCAGCTATGGCTGCCTCTCCAAGGACCGGGCTATGGTCGACGTCTCCCGCGTGCTCCCACGCGTAGCAGCAGTGAATAGTCTCTCGCCAGTAGCAACTCCAGCGCCAAAATGACTGAACTGCCAAAAGCCCCGAACAGATTACTACCATCTATTAATAGCTCTACCTAGACCGGACTGACTGGACCAACCGGTACCGTTTCAGTTTCGGCCTCTAGGGCCTCTCCCTACCCGGCTATAGGCTATAGGACCGTCTAGCAGCGTAGGCCTTAGGCCCTGTCTGTCCTAGGGGCAGCCCGGGCCTGATATTCGCAGTTAGGGAAGCTGTAGGGAATTTGGGTTAGTGCGGGCCTACAATTTCCAGAATTTGCAGATATGTCCCTCATGAATTTCCTCACAGTCAGATATCGCGGTTAGCCCTCAGCCAAACAAAATTACGAATCTGACGTACCTATAGTACAGCCTCGACTCGACAGGCTACAGGTCAGCAGAACCAGCAAGTCATTGCAGACCTACCCTTCCAAGGAGCGAGCACCTCCGAGCTAAGGGCGTAGGCGTGCAGAGCGCCGAAGAGGTCTTAAGAAGTTCCTTGCGAGTGAACCAGCGGTCTTCAGTATGCGGTTGGTAGGAAAACTTCACAAGGTATTCTTTATCCGGGTCTGTGCCTATCTCATCCTCAATGGATTCCACCTCATATCCCTTGCCAGGGATCGGTGGTCCGAATTGAGGGGGCAGGTCAGGAAATGTGTCAGCGGAAATGAAGGGTAACAGTGTAGATGCATGGAAGACCAGATAGGTCTGTAGCTGCAGTGGGACGTCTACAACATATGATGGTCCGAATGGATCAGCGCCCACTGTACCTAAAACCTGCCAAGGACCCATATATCGGGGCAGCAGCTTAGGTGAGATGTCCTCCTCACGTGATAACTCAAAATTGAGCACCCAAACCTAGTCACCTGTGCGAATAGTAGATGGGCGACGGTGCCTATTAGCCTGCTGAATGAGTCTTTTAGGCTTCAAGCAGGTTGGCACGAGCACGCTCAATATCCACACGATAACGTCTGTTGAATTCTGCGGTTCAAGGTGGGCAGGAGTAACCTTCTTTATTATATCATCGAGAGGCTGTCGTGGCTCACGACCCGAGTGTAACCGATAGGGTGTGAAACCAATAGAGGAGTGGACAAAAGTGTTATACACTAGCTGTGCACGACCCAAATGCAGATCACCGTCCTGTTGATCTGGACTGATCACAGGACGCAACAGTTGAAATAGAATCTGGTTCATCTGTGTGTCCGATTTTGAATTCAACGTGGGTTCCGCATTGAAAAATTCAACGCACATTGAATTCGCGTTAAACTCCCTTTCAACCGCACGTTGGACGCGAATTAACAGGGTCCGCAATGATTTTTTTCCTGGGCTAAACATTATCTAATTGTGTTTTTTTTTTAGGACTACAACCCTATATTTTTATTTTTATTTTTTGACGTTTAAATATATTTTTAAAAAATCAAAAACATAAACACACAATGAAAAAAAGCAAAAACTAAAATGAAATGAGTGTTTTTTTTTTGGGTTTCACACATATTTTTTAAGGGCTAAAACAAAAACAAAAAAACAAATAAAAATATAGGGTTGTAGATCTTTCAAAGATGTACAACATTTTTTTATTATTATTATTTTTTAGAACTTCGGGTATTTTTAAGAAAATCAAAACCATAAAAAGCAAATAAAAAAAGGAAAAAAAGACACACACACACACAGAATTGGGCCTGTAGCAGATTGCATGAGTCTGGCGTCCGAAGTTCCCGTATGACATGGTTCGTCCGCCTCTGCTTCTATTAGGGCTGGGAGGTTGGCCCAACCCTGGTGCTTGTCACTGCTGTGTGGTCCAAGTTGCCCTCAATACTGGTAGGGTGATGGTCCTGAGTGCTGGTCACACTGAGGTAGGATAGTAGGGACAGGGGGTGCCTCCCAGCCGTGTTGGCTGAAGACCTTACTGATACAGACTAGGAGGATCCAACTGACTATCTCAGTTGGTTGGCATCGAGAGTGCCATAGGCGGGGATTGAACCCACAACCTCTTGAATGCCACTTGCGTGCCTAACAAACTGAGCTAGGCCGCTGGACGAAGCCCATATTCTTGGATCGCAAGAGGGAAAAAAAAAAAAAAGAAAAGAAAAAAACCTGAAAAACGAATAGCAAGCTACTGAGGGCTGTACTGCCCCACACGTGGCCAGGAAAAATGACATTTCAAGCTCTAAACTACTAGCAGTGTATCTACCTATGTTCTACGAGATTCATGCTCATTTTGCACATTTGGTCAGAGTTGAGTCCACAACTCTCGTGGCAAAGGTAAGAACGTTTTTTTTTTTTTTTCCCTTTTCTTAGCAAGCCCTGCCAACGAGGTAGGGCAGTCCGTTCTAGATTTTCGTTACTTGGTAACAAACAGCAGAATGCTTGGATACTGTATTTCTGGGAAGATGCAGTAGAAGAGAAAAAAAAAAAAAAAAAACCATACCCAAATCACCCGCCCAAACCCATATCGCCCGCCCCCAGTTTTCAACGGGAAAAAACTCTATCCCTCAAAAGGGAAACAATGGACACACACCAACAATCATGCACACACACACACACACACACACACACACACACACACACACACACTTACAAGCACACACATACACAAACACACGCGCATACATACATATTCATGTACATTCACACTCTCACGTGCAGGCACACACATACACACATACGCGCACACACAGCACACATAACTGGGGTGTTGGGGGTTGGGGGATGTGGGGGCGGATGGGTTAGAGGGCTTCCGGGTTGGTTTGGGGACTGGTGCCGGGGGGTTGGTGAGTGGCGGTTTGCAGGCTGGTCGGTGTTGGTCTAATTCGGTGGTATTAGAGGTGCTTCAGGGTTGGGGGAATTTTTTTATTTTTATTCTTTTTTATTCTTTTTTTTTTTTTTGCCTAGGGCCACGTGTTTCGGACCCCGCACATCAATTCCATTTTTCCGAAAAGCGTGGGAGCGACCCATTTTCGTGTTTAACGGGAATTCAACGGGATTTTTTCGAATTTAACGGGATTCAACGGGAGTTTAATTCCCCCGTTCCCCGTTAAAAAGACACACAGTGGTTCATCACCTCAGCCTGACCATTGACTTCAGGATGCCGACACGATGTCATATCCAGACGAGAATGAAGGTAATCCTTGAAGTAGGATTGTCATTCATTGCTGCAAACATGGGATCTCGGTCACTGACTATCGAGGTGGGTGGTCCATGATTTGTGACGCACCTGTCAGCAAAAGCCGCTTGTACGGTTAAGACACGGGCTTCGACTGGTAAGGGGATGAACTCTGCATATTTGGAGAACCGGTCCACACACACCAGAACCTGACGCATACCATGTGGCGTGGTTCTGCCCAAATATGTGAAATCAATAGACACAGATTGTGCAGGTGCCTCAGGGACAGGAAGTGGATGGAGTAGGCCAAGGGGAGGTCTACGCACGACCTTATTCCGCTGGCATAACTCACAGGTTTCCACATAGTGCAGCATGTCACTCGTCATCTCTTTCCAGAAGAAGCGTTGCGACAGGGCTGCATACGATTTACGCACGAGCATCATAACACTTAAACATAAAGAGTGTTCTGAGCTTGCAATCAGAAGGGATCCACAAGCGTTCTTCACGTTTGCTGCATGCGTACAACAGACTTGAAACCAGGGTATAACCAGGTTCAGAGGCAGAATCAGCCTGCAGATTCCTTACAATGGGTCCAAAAATCGGATCCTGTGGCAGCAAGCGGCGAATGGTCTGACACGTCCTTTCTCCAAAAGAATGAGGAAAGGAGATTAAGAAGAGTGCATCAGGTCTACGTGAGAGGGCATCTGCCGCTGATGGAGGGTCCCTTCCTTCCTGCAGAAGGATCCTGAACCCGAAGTCTGGCCTCAAAGTTCAGTGCTGCCTGGAAGAAGGATCTCCAATCCTTATACTCTTTAGTGAACAAGCCTACTAAGTAGTCTGAGGGAGCCGCCCTGGTGAAATGAATGAGCTGGTCTTCCTCAGTCATTTCTAACCCAGGGGTGGAGGTCAGAGTCTCAAAAGTACTGTATAGTTTAGACAAGGAGCTTTCCCATTTTCGCTGACCGATCTGCATCAGCTTATCAACGGCCTTCCTGGCCTGCTCCTTGTCCCTGAATCTTTCCTCCAGGGCCCTTCGAAATCCCTCCAAACCTACGTTGCAAGCCCACTCCATCATCTTCATGTGCTGCCACATGGAGGTAGACGTACACCATTTCAGTGCAGCCTTCTCCAGCCGACCAAGCACATTGCTGATCTTCACTCGTTCATCACAGGCGAACCCACCCAGGTAGGTTCTCTGTGCAGCAGTCCAGTCTGTCACATCCACCTTCGGGTCCTTGCTTGAGAACATGGGTGGACGTGTCAGCTTGGTTTGCAGCACATCGCCTGGTGAGGGAACAAAGGAAGATCGAGAATGAGTGGGGATGGGGATTTGGGTGGTTGTTGTGGTTGTGGGATAATAACAGGAGTAGGTCTCTTGGGGGAAGGTTCAGGAGAGAGAGAGAGAGTTTGGCAAGGATACGATCAACCTTGGAACCCAGATCATCAAGCTTACACTCTATGGCAGACTGTCTCCAAGGCTGATATCCGGTCATCCCAGTTGGTAAAATAAGATCTGTTTAGTTTGTCCTGAAGGACAATCATCTCTGTCACAGTTTTATTGTACCCATTGACAGTACCACTCTCCTGAATCTTTCCCAGTTCTACCAGGAGCTCCTTTCTCCTGGTTTCCTCCGCAGTTGCCTGCTCGTTCGGCTCCTTCTCTTCCTGTAACCTTTTCAGCACAGCAGCCTTAGCCTCAAACTCTTTCAGAGCTTGCTGCAGCGCCTGATCCAGCTTTGAGAGAGGGGGCTGTGACGATTCCCCTTTCTCAGGCATGATGCCTGAGGTTAGTACCCAACAACGACAGATAGATAGAGAAAGTCAGAAGTGGAGGTCAATAGCAACTAAGATTCCCTTCAGGAGTGTCCTAGTCGTCTGTCACCTGACTGGAAGTGGAATTGTGGTTAGATGAGTAAGCGAATAGTTAGTCTCAGCAGACTGCTTAAGGGGCAGACTCAGTTTAGGGTACACCCAATAAAGACCATTTCACGATTTTCCATTCACTACCCTGACTCCCCAATCAGATGCAATTCTCTGAACTTGGCTTTGAGTGACTGATAGAGTGCAATCTAGGACTAATTAGTATAGATTAGTAATACAACAGAGTGATAATTACCCACATACAGGGAGAATAGCAGACCCAAGGGAATACGATTTACTGGAGCTATTTTTAGCCTGCCACAGACTTCTTCCTCACTGTTTGACCCCGGCAGTCATACCCTGGGTATGGCGCTGTCACAGTTTGCACTGTACTGCACTCAAAACTTCAATACTGACTTTGTGATTTCACACAGGTACAAAAGACTGAATTGCGATTTCACACAGGTACAAAAGACTGAATTGCGATTTCACACAGGTGCATGACGGTTACCCGTCAAGATTGGGCATGGGCCCGATATGCTGAGCTGTCCACCCAAACTTATTGTGGCAACATGCAGGATCCGATCCAAAAAGTTGAGCGGATCTTGCTCAGAAATAGAGATCAGGGAAGGTGTCGTTATTAATGCTTTTATGTGGGGCCTTTCAGAGAGGATCACAAGCCACCTCGGTCCCCAACCCAAGGAGCTGAAGACTTACCACAAAATGGCGCTCGAGGCTTCCAAGTTAGACTCTGCACTGCAGTTCGCTGAAGGGACAACGGTGCCCAGGAGGCTGAAGGCCAGCGACGGGTTCATTCCTGTGCATGAGAGGAACACCCAACGATATTAGAGCAAGGTATACCCTGCAGTTACTGAAGGGCTGGCATACTTCAGTGGCAACAGCAGTGGTGAAAGTTCGGAGGATGGGAGAGAACAGAACCCCCAACGGAGATGAGAGGCCAACCTCTAGACTGCAGGGCGAGCAGAAAAAGACAGTCCTTTCCGCATTGCATGACTTAACAAAAGCGGTGAGATGAAAATAGGCATCGCAACGGCAAGAGGCATTGAGACAATAGAGTGGGGAAAATCATGTCCTAGTGGGAGGAAACAAAGCATGAGTACCGGTTTAAGACAAGATTGGAGCGATACAGGACACATACATGGACACAATACATCGACAACATACATAATGACCTGTGAGAGATGTGGCTGCTGGGGACACTTAGAGCAAGAAGATCGCTAAAAGAATAGGCCCATCAGATGGTGCAGCCCCATCCACACACGTTGGGGAGAACAATTTTGCAACTTGCAGAGCGCCTGGTCCTCCCACCTCCCTATTCAAATTGGCCAAGGCTGCAAGCGCCCGCCAGGAGGAGCAAGCAGCAAGGAGATGCAAACTGCCGTAGAAATCACAACGATGGAGAAGAAGAGAGCAGGAGCCTATGTAGCGAATCCAATGTATTCTCAGCTCATAGCAGACCTGGAGGCACATCGTTGAAAAAAAAACAGAGTCGAAACTTTTCTAGTTGGACGAATGTGGGCGCTCTTGTAGTGGCTCGTACGTTTCCTAAAATTGTGGCTTGTTAACAGGCACAACTTTAGGAAGTACTGCTGGTTTAACAACGGCTTATGCATGGCAGAGGGGTTTGCTATTCGTAGAAAGCAAGGACGTGCAAATATTTTGCATGCCACAACGGATGAGGGTGAACATGCTTGGTCAATAACACAACACTCAAAGAGTCAAAAGGCATTCTCGTTTCAAGAAGACATAATGTAAAGGTTCTATTGGCCTTTCATGAGGAATGATGCAGAGGAATATGTCAATACCTGTGCTGTTTGCCAACAAACAAAAAGTCGAAGTCATCGACCCCGTGGATTTCTGCAACAATTGCATGAGTGGGTTGCCGGTATTGAAGGACAGAACAACAGTCCCTCCCTATCATGGAACCGTTTTCCAAGTTTATCAGGCTCATACCTATGCAGAAACGACATTCTTCAGCAAAGGAAGTGGGTGAGTTATTCTGGGCAGCAGTGGTACTGGTATCACATCTGCCTGAACTGTGGCTGGCCAGTCCTTATATTGACTTGGACTGAGCCTGAACTCTTCCCAGCCTCTGCTTCCTTCGGCTTGACTTGGTACTGGTACCACATCCCCACGGCCTGTTTGCTTCAGAATGTCGAGGCCTGGTGCTTCCCTGAATTTTCCCTTGGTGTGCTGCTCCTTGGGCCTGTCAGTCACGACTTTTCATCTGTGGGATATGCCTCTTCGCCCTTGAGACATAACCTTTGCCTGTAGAATATGTCCTTTGACTTCCAGGCTACTGGGTGCACGGCCTCCAGGCCCAGGCAGACCCAGGCTGCTCGTGAGGAGGGCGGCACTTTCCATTCAGGAAAGTGCCTCGCCCAGGGCATCTCATTCTGGCGGCGAGCAACTTGGCGACCACGCTGCTGGGTTGCTCGCCAGAGGGCACATGAGGGAGCTAGAGGTGGAAGAAGTGGTGCTGCGGGGGGAGAGGGGCGCACGACAGCCATATCCAGGCTGGCCGGGCGCGTGCTGGTATGGGCGATGGTGGTCTTTGGGTGACGGGGAGGCACATTGTGGGAAGACGGGGATGAGAGAGAGAGGAGACGAGACACCTACCGGGTGTATGCGGCAGTCTGCATTGATGACGTCGTCGCGTACATTGGTCTTCAGCTTGAAGTGATTCCTGTTGCATGTCGTAGATGTAGGATAGCATCGGCGCTGCATACGATAGAGGCTAGGCGCTGAGTGCCAAAAGAGGAGTGACATTGGATACTGTGTTGGTGGTGGTGAGAAGGGCTGACATTTACATCTGAGTTCATTGTATTGCTCTTATTTGGCTTGTACCTCTGTGCATTGTGCTTTCTGCTTTCTGCGTGGGACACAACTATCTGGCTTTCAATTTGGATTTCTGTCTATCGCTCTCGCTCATTTTCCTTGCAATTAAAGAAAGAAAAAAAACAAAAAACAGCTGGAGCCACATGGCAGACGCTAATAGATGTGGACTGTCTAAATTCAAAAAAAAACAAAAAAAAACAATGGCAGATGCTCGCAGAATCACTCACGTTGGAAAATGGCCTCTTGCAAACATGTCCACGCCGCCTCCACATCTTTCTCTTCTGAAATGCACCCTCGAAAATCCTCCTTCAACTGCTCCTGAGTCAATTATTGGAGAAAGCACAAGAAAAACCAAAAAGAATCACAATCACTGCAAAGCGAAGGAAGAGCACAGAAGGAAGAGAAGAGAATGCAAACAGGAAAAAAGGAGGGACCAGGAGACGAAGAAAATCAAGGAAACAACAAGACCAAAGAACTAGGCAGCGGATATCTACCCCCACGCTCCCTCCCGAGTCCCAACCCTTCCCATGCGTTCCATGCCCATACCCTGCCCCGCCCCCCCCCCGAATGCCCCGGCAGGCTCTCTGCTTCATCCGGGTTGCCCGGGCAGATAACTCCAGACAGGATCCAGCCAAATGGGTCTATCCTGTCCAGACAGGTCATTTCTGGGCCAAAAAAAAAAAAAACAGAACCAAAAAAAATTCTTAAGAAAGTTGAAAGAAACATTAATTTTGGAATATGTTGCAGAGAATTGTAATGCGAACTACTGTTGAGTGAGGATAATCTCCAAATTCCGAATAGAAATATAGAACTGAACAAATAAATATCCCTATACTCTTAAAGGAAAGACTGGTCCAGTGAGGAGGGCGGCTGCCGCTCAAAGTTACTGCACAGCGCCGTTTTCACGACTTTCCGTTACCTGAGGTAGTGGCGGTAGCTTCTTGAAATGAAAACCATTGGACAAAATATACAGGGCTATCACCTTCTCTGGCAAGACTTTCCAATCTTTTCTAATTTGCTTGGATGGTATTTAGAGCCTAATCCGCGTTCGCTCGCCACTACTAACGGAGTCTCGGTTGATGTGCTYTCCTTTAGCTACTTAKATGTTTCAGTTCGCTAWGTCAACTTCGTTGCGGTTTCCCGATAGGAAATCCATGGATCAAAGAGAGCTTCTCCCCATGGCGTTTCGCCTTTCATTGCGTCCTTTCTTTCTCAATGCCAAGGCATCCACCCAATGCAWTATTTTGGATATAGCAGGGCCCTTCGCTACTTCTCACTTTTGTTTTATATCATATCATAGACTGATAGAGCCTAAGGTGGCACGCCCGTCAGTCAGGGCGTGCCGTATGTGTTCGTCGGGCCTTATGGCGACACGATAACAACTATAAGACAGATAGAATTCAATTTGATTGAATTGATGATTCACTCACTGAACTGGTGCGCTTTTTTTCGATTCTGAGCGGAGTAAAGCGACATGCATGGTGTACGATAGATATCCATCGCCTAGTTTTGCCCCACCATCGGCCTGAGAAACATGCTGAGGTCCCACCTCCTTCTTGAGTGGGGGAGCGAGCGCCTTCGTGCTCAGGCACCTCAGCATCCAGGTGGCCCCTAACTCATCTCCACGCCACTTTACTTCTTCACCTTTAACCCAAAGACAACTACTCAACCATCTTGCCATGCATTTCTTATGGACCTATCACTTCGCTCGTACTCCTACATCGGAGAGACCAATCCTGACTGCCCAGCCAGTCCAGGTTGAATGTCACGAAGGAAGGAAGGCAGCAGCGCCAGCAGAAGCAGTGGGAGAGCTTGCTATGGCGGTGGGAGTGTGGCCGACAGTACCGAGAAGGAGATAATAAGTTATTTCATGTTCTCATACAAAGAATCCGAGTACGGAGGCACTAACACCGAGACTTCTACTTCTCACGTATCAAGGGTGATTGCTGACGTGGCTACTCCGTATTTGCAGATCAATTATTCCTTGCTGGCGTGGCAGCCCTGCACATGACGTGTGATTGCCGATGTGGGTACCCCTCTTTTGCAGATAACTGCCATGGCAATCGTTTGCTGACGTGGCTACCAGTATGACCTGGCAGATTCTTACGGACGTAATATTTGAATTTGTGCTCTGTATTTGATACTGGTAAAGGGGGGAAATTAAAGCAAAGTCACTCTATATGAGAAAGGGGCAGTGGGAGACTTGAGCCTGCTGGTGATCTGTAGACCTATCCTTTGAATAGAGTCAAGTAGGGAGCAGAGGAATTGAAATACCGTAGGATATTACTATATGCAAGAAGAGAGGCCAAGGAAGTCCCCGTTTCAACATGCAACAAGAAAGATAAATTAAATGCACCTAACCTACCAACACTTTTTTTTTTTTTTTTTTTTTTTTAATGTTGGGTAGGTTAGGTGCATTTAATTTATCTTTCTTNTTTTTTTTTTTTTTTTTTTTTTTTAAGTGTTGGTAGGTTAGGTGCATTTAATTTATCTTTCTTGTTGCATGTTGAAACGGGGACTTCCCACCCAAGAGCCTAGCTCAGTGGGTACACCCATGAACTGTTGAAATACAGACCTGTGTTCGAAATTCGAATCCAGATGATGGAACTTAACGAGTAAACCGACTACTAATGAATTGCTTGGGGCTGGTCAGCTCAATGATAATATCTCAAGGCCGTCGCCCTTTTTTTTTCAAAAAAAAAGGGAAAAAGAAGAGTGAAACGGGGACTTCCTTGGCCTCTCTTCTTGCATATAGTAATATCCTACGGTATTTCAATTCCTCTGCTCCCTACTTGACTCTATTCAAAAGATAGGTCTACAGATCACCAGCAGGCTCAAGTCTCCCACTGCCCCTTTCTCATATAGAGTGACTTTGCTTTAATTTCCCCCCTTTACCAGTAGAGGCTAGTCTTGGATGTGCCCCTTTTCCCATATGTAGTGGCTTTGTGTTACTACTCCTTTTCAACTGCAGATGCTACCTTCTTCCCCCGAATACAACGTACGGTGATTATAGCTGGATGTACCTGGGGTATCTTTCAGTCTAAATACAGCTATAATAACCGTACGTTGTATTCGTGGGAAGAAGGTAGTCTTGGAAGTGCTGCATTTTAGAACAGCTGGGTCTAAGAGGTGCGGACTCTGCTATGTTTCCTTATTTTAGGTGATCAGCTTTTCCCTATCGTGTCGAGACAGGAACTTGGTTGAAGTCAGAATTGTTGTTGAGTAAGTAGCTCCTTCTTCTACATGGCACCTGGTCATATTCCAGGCCAAAGCAGGGCATGACAAATAGACTGCAATGGTTATAGCAGATGCCCTAGTCAATTCGCGCATGCCTGATAGCACACTTCTCTATTGCCTAGGGGTAAAAGAGGGATTATGTTGATTTTTTTTTACTGTTCCGAGAAAGTTCACGCAGCAGCCTACGATTGAGAGAGGAACCCAGTTTTAGGGGATCAGGGTGAAGCTCACAGAACTAACGTCTTCACCCAAATAGAACGCCCAGTCATTATAGCTGTATTTGGCACAACTTTCAGCCCAGATACGGCGATAATTACCGGGCGTTCTATTCGGGTGAAGACGGTAGCAGCAGCACCACCTTGAGCAGTGAGAGTGCAACAAGGGGCGGTGGGACCGCTACTGGTCAGGTGGTAAGAGAGAGCCGGTGAAGTGCAAACTTGAGTTGTTCCCATTGTGATCAATACACTATGAAGATCCAAGGGAGCGTGGTGGGAAACCCATCATGGCAGCTCAGGCTCTGTACAGTGTTTCGGACAGAGAGTGTGAGAGGGCAGCCCTGTTGGAGAGGAGGGGACTTTAATAGTAGAGCTGGTTTTTGGAGTTCTTTTGTGTGCTAAGAAAAAAGATTTTGGAAAAAACATTCACTGACATCCACTCAAGATAACCCTTAAGGAAATATCACGACTATGGATAGCGGCACAGTGGAGGCAGTGTGAGCGTTACCATCAGTGGTGGGAACGCTATTTGGCTGTAGTTAGCACAAATAGGGTAGGAAGCAAACTTGAACTGTATCCATGGTGATCTTGGTTCAGCGAATGTTGTTATCATTGACGATCCACAGGTGCGTGGTGGGAAACCCATCTATGTGGTTCAGGCTTCCTCGAGTTTACAGGTCTGTTTAGGTTTAGGTTAAGGCTGGCCAAAATGAGTTCTCTGTTGGGACACTGGACCCGGTTTCCAGCAAAGCGGAAGCTGGGAAATGGCCCCAGTACTCACCGGGTAGAATTGTGAGGTCCCCGACCTTGAGTGGATTTATTTCATAGTAAACTGTGTTCTTCGGACTTCTTCCAGAAAAAAAGAAAAAAAGAAAAAAAGAAAGAATTGGTCCCGCATAACGCTTCCACGTGAGACTCTGCCCTGTGTTGGCAAAGGGTGTGGGACAGGGGCGGGCCCGGTGAACGCTGAGTTTACTGCCTGTCGGCGCACGTTCAAATACAAGTACGCGGTGCAGCAGGTGCAGCCAAGTCTTTACACAGAGTGGCGGAGTAGCGGCTGACGTGTAGATTCCTGTTTTTGTTTTTTTCCAGTGGATTCATTACTTTGTTTTCAACTTTTCACAACTTTTTTTTTTCTTTGTTTTTTTTCAAGTGAGCACAGCCCCTTCTATTCTGGGGGGCATCAGTCCGGTTGATTATCACCGGCAAGCATGTATTTACAGCAAAGAAGAGAGGGGGGGGGGGGGGGGGGGGGGGGGGGGAACGTGAGAGAGAGGAGAGGACTTAGAGGAACAGCTTCATCCCTGCGGCCCTGGTCACCTGCCCAAGGGGGAGACTGCTACAGCTCACAGCCTTCTCCAGACCCTGGCTCTTCTTGAGGGGGTTCCCCTGCTGATCAGGAAGCTTACTAGCAGCACCCCAGTCGCGCAGCAGGGAGATACCAAGAAGAGCGAGGTGCCGGAGGGGGGTCCCTAGCAGTCTCACAGGCCTCTTATCACCATTTCAATGTCTTCCAGTTTAACTAGAGTGCTCCCTAATAAATAGTAATAATCTATTTCTTGTTTCCGCCCCCGGACCGTTTGAAAAGCATCTATTTTATGTACATAACACTACTCCTGTCTCTCTGGCTTGTCCCTCCATTGTTGTCAACATATCCATTTTGTATAGCAATTTACCACTCTTGTCTCTCCACCCTTGTCCCTCTACTTTTGCCAAGAGACTAACAGACCTTCTCGGTCTCTGTTCTATCCTATATGTACACCTGATTTCGTTCCCTATTTCGTCCATATCCGCTTTTTCCTGCCTGTCTTTCCCTTCTTCCTTTATCTACTAGGATTTCTCCGCTTCATGTTTCCAAGTTCAACTGTGTTTTTCCTTGCTTTCACTGTGTTTCAGTTTTTTACGATTTTGTCCCCTCGTACCTCCCAGTCCTACTCCCCCCAACTTTTTACCCGGATGTCTACCCCCCCTGCCTACCCAACTATCATGGTACACACGCACCCCACCAGAGCCTACTCGCCCTCCTATGATTTCTTCGAAACTATAGTACACCTCGGTTTCCTGCTAGATTCTTTTTCTTTGTTCTTAGTCGTTTTCCGAGAGGGGCGATGCAATCTCACAGCCAGCGAGCCCAGTCTTCTTAAAGCACCAGTACATAGGCACCTGGGCCGCGGGCCTGTCACCTAAAATTCTGGAAGCGCGAACGAAAATGCAACTGCCGATCCAATTTATCAACGGCGGGCCCAGCATTCGACGTTTTGGCCTCGTTTTCTTGGGGCAACAAGTTTCAGACTGCAAGGCTGAGGCCGTGTACTAGTGGTTTGAACCACAACGTACACTCGGGGCTGGAGGAGCGCCACTGTGCGCCAAGCTTTCCCGAACCGCCAGTGGTGCGGCACACTTTTTTTTCTTTTTTGGCTGGTGCCACCAACCATTGTGGTCCTGTAGGCCCGAGGCACAAAATTTTCGGAGTACGTGACGAAACATTTTCTGCACGGCTGGGGCTGTGCACTAGAGGTTTAATGCCTTCTAGACTTTCTAGTACATAATTTTGGAGAAGTTGCCAATCATCGTCTTCACCACTTTGAGGTGGTTGACAGCGGTGGGCGGGCACCTTCGGAACAACCAGCGCGAAATAGCTCGTGGCGCCAGCCAAAATCGAATCCGCGCCGGTTCGTTTTCTTTCGGCGCGCAGGTCGATTTTAGGCTCAGCACCGATAGCTGAGAAAGGTACTGGTGGTTAATTTTAGGTCACCTCTTCTTCTTTGCTGACTTGTTCAATGCGTAATCCTGCCACCACAGCCTTCTTGGCTGCAGCGCACACGCACATCATCCTCTGGAACCCGTTGTGCTGTGTTGTTTCTGGCAGTGGGACAACGCAGGTGAAAGCACTGCGTCGACCACTACTCTCCTCTCTCTTATCGCTCTAATCACTGCTGCAGTCATCCCCTTGTCTGGCTCCTTGCGGGTGCTTGCAGCCTTGGCCAACCTAGACTGGGAAAAATACAAATAAGCACCCTTCAACTTCCATAATTGGTAAATTTTCGAATTGCATTCCCATGACCGATGGTAGTGGAATGTTTTGAGATCTAGGCTACCAGACGGGCCGCCCAGGTCGGGTCACCTCGTTTCCCCGGGTTGCACGGCCGTGCAAGGACTAAGGAAGCTCCCAGCAAAAAAAAAAAAAAAAAAAAAAAGTTAAAAAAACCGAAAAAAAACTATGTTATGCAGAAAAATAAACTGAAGAATGTTTGCCTCAGGGTCACATCGAAATTCTTTACCAAATTAAGAAACCAATAATAATAATAATAATAATAATAATAATAATAATATATTGAGCCTCACTGCTCCACACCTTGATCACACACACACACATTGAGAGATCACACGAAATCCACACTGGAGTCCAGAGATGCAAAGTCCAGATATGCACAGCTTAGAAATTCAAACATATTATCACATGAAACAGTTTCGGAGATCCAGTCAACAAGCGCTCAACAGCGCAGAATTCAGCAACCCAATACCAGCACCCTCATCTAAGGTACGTGACTCTCTTCTCTCCCTGCCTCACTCTCTCTTTCTTTCTCTCTGTCTTCTCTCTCTCTCTCTGTGTCCCTCCTGGTCTTCTTCATGCATGCTCTCTCTCTCTCTATATATATATATTATATAAACAGTTTGTCACAGCCCCTCGTTTGTTGTCCTCTTCTCCCTCTCTGCCTACGGTTTACCGGGCAGTTCTATTTGACGATATATATATATATCGT